TTTCATTTCTTTATAATGCTTCTCTTGTGTGCTTTTTTAATGTGTAGAACTATATATCAAAATCTAGTCATAGCCAAAATAGCTAAGTTAGATATCTATTGCTGAGAAGCCTGTTTATATGTATTTATAGTGGGCAAAGAATGAAGACGTCAAGTTAGTTAAAGGAAGGGAAGCAAGTGCTAAGTATCTATAGCTATTCAGTAATAAAACAGGTGTGGCATTGTGTATTTATACTTAAGTGTGCTTTTCACGCTTGCGAGGTTTTTCTCTATGTGTGTTTGTTTTTTTCCCCCTCTAAAGCTTACCTTTGCTCTTATAATGGCTAAATCAGGAATACAGATGGACAATTCTTTACAAAATGCATTGTAAACATATGGAACTTTTTACTTTAAGTGCTAACAAAGGCTGTAACAAGGAGGATCCAGAAAGATTTAGCAAAATTTATAGATGATAGATCCATACTAGATTATTAAGGAAAACTGAGATGGTCCTTTTACCCACAAAGCTCTAGAAAGCATAGTCCATATTCTAGCAAAGGTTCTCAAGAAGTGAGGGGATGTGGGGTTACTCTGACTCCTGTGCTGCATGAGCACACAATTCCTGTCTCATCATGAGAAATATGAGATTGTGCTGCATGGCTTATATTCATGTTTTCCCAAGCAGTATGTAAACTCTTTGAGGCAAATGGCCTATTTGGTTTTGTATCCTCAGTACCTAGTACATGACACTCAGGAGGTATTCAACAGATTTACTCAATTGGTGAATGAATACAATCTATCCCTATAGCTTCACTGTTTACTCATTGCTTAGTTCCTGAATTCAGCTCCCCGCTCCAGCCCAATATTGAAAAGATGCTCTTAAAAAGTCACTAGAAAGCTCCCAAATGTCAAATTGTTGGTCTTTATCCTTTTGGATTCCACTGTAGTATGTGTCACTGTCGGATATGCCCAAGTTTCTTGCCTTCTTAATACTTCCTTCTTCCTTTGCTTCTAGAACAATAGTGTCTTGATTCTCTTCCTACCTGCCCAGCTGCTCCTTGTCTACGTTCTTTGGTAGTCCTACTTTTAGCCACTAAGTGGAGGCATTTTCAAGGTCCTGGTTTTGGATCTCTCTTCTCTTAATAATCCCTCTAACAATCTCTTCCATTTCCACACTATAACCAGAAATCTCACAAACTCAACCATCTTGTGATGAAATCTACACCTATATTTCCAGGAAACTTCTGAACATTTGACCTCAACACTCTGCTATCACTTTCAGTTTCACTTGCCCGAAACGAAAGGTATCATCTATTAGCATTGCTTTTCCTGATTTTAATAGTTTTTCTCTCAAAACCCAACTGTCCTCCCAACTAATCACACTCAAAGCCCTAAGATCATCATTGAGTCCTGGTTGCTACTCTTTCTCTAAATTATCTTCTTTGACTAAGAATATGACAGTAGAATCCTAATTCTTCACTCATACATACTTCTGTAGATTAAATGTTCTAACATGCAGCTTTGATTATGCTCCTCCACTGCCTAAAAACCTTCAATATATCCCTGTTGCCTAAAGAACTATATGCTAACATATTAGTCTCTTATTCAAGAATTAGGTGATATGGCACCAACCTACTTTTCCAGAATCATCTCCTTAGTTTTACACTTTATATAGCCTATTTTCTCACTAGCTATACTATTTGTCATTCTCCTCAAATGGTTTTATTTTCTTACCTCTGTATTTTTCGTAATGATATTTCATTTGATAAAAATGCCGACTATCTCCACCTCCAAATGCTAAAATCCATACTCATCCTTCCATGCTTTTTTTCTATGTGATTCTTTTTCTGACATATCCAATAAGGCATGACATTTCCCTCCTCTGAACTCATATAATATGTTATTAACACCTCTTGCATAATACCTATCATCATCTGCCTTATTCTATAGTCTTTCTGTACTTTTTTATCTTTCCTACAAGACACAAGGGTCTTATAACTAAGGAACTCTTATCTTATTACTGCATCTTCCATCTTGTCAAGCACAGTACCTTTCACAGAACAGATGTACAATAAATTTATGAATGTTTAGGGGCTCATCTCCTAATCTCGGAGTTTGACATCAGCAAAGCTCTAATCTGGACTGATATTCAGCCAGTATAAATCTGTACAACCATAGTGGCTACTTATTGCCTGTGTACATTCTGACTAGTTGGAGCTTGTGCTATATCATTAATTAATATTTTCAATATCACTCCTGATATGATATTCTCCCTTAAAATGTCTTTTGGTGCCTCTAACAGAAACAGTACACTCAGCTGAATGGGCTGGAGGCAATATTTAGAAGCTCCTTCTGAGGTACCTAATGTAGATTACTCTTGGGGAGGAGACATAGGCTCAGCATGGAAGAACTAATTATACCATTTAACATTTTAATTTTCTAATAAAAAATATAGACTATAACCTCATTTTGTTTAAATATGGAATTGAAAACACTACAATGAGAATTGTAGAGCTCTGTA